GGCTTGCAACGCGAGTCGCTGCCTCTCACTGCTGCCAAAACGCTCAGCAAGGCCAACGAGAATCCCGACATATTGCTTGCTCATGTCCTCATTCATGGGCTCGTCGCAGCTGCGATGTTCTCGTATAGACCGCTTCATTGATTCCTGCTGCCCGTGCAAAGGCTCAAGGCCGGGCTGTGTCTGTGGTGCAGGCGCGGGCGCGGGCTCTGCATGCTGAATCTGGTCCTTGGCGGCAGGTTCCGCGACAGGAGCCCGTGCTTTAAGTTCTTCCATTTCCTGCTGCATCTTTTGCAGCGTGAGTCTCAAGCGCTTTCGTTCGTCCTCCGAAGAGATTAAATCCTGACGGGCATATTGCAGCTCGCCATGGACACGTTCCAGTTCTTGACGCTGCTGCGACTGCTTGGCGGGGCCAGAATCCTTCGCAAAGGCCAGCTCGTTCTCCAAACGAGTATTCTCGCGTTCGGATGCTTGGAGCCGGCTACGCAATATGGTGACTTCGGCCACCTTTGTCGCCAATTCATCACTCAAGTTGGCGGCGACATTTCCAGCAGGCGCAGCAGCAAACGGGCTTGTTGCCCGTTGAGGAGGCCACTGCGGAATGCCGGAGGGCGGATACATGGCTCAAGGTGATGCTACCATTACGTCAAGCCTCATCAGACTCCCCGCAGAACGCTGGCTCGTGTTGGCAGGACTGAGTTGAACTGTCATGCCGACTGGCTCCTTTCTAAATCGCATTCAACTGATGGAATGAAGAGTCTCTCTAATCCTGGACAGCTCCTACGCAGCCAAAAGTGCAAAGAAACAGCTGCGGCGAAGAGGAGCTGAGCAGCTGAGGCTACAGTCACAACGCCGCTCCCGATCACGAGATCCAACCTTCTGCTCAGCCCACGGCCAGGCTCTGCAACGACCCTGACCAGAAAGCTCAACATGATTGTGACGCATGTAAACTTGCGGACAGGCTGCGGGCGAAAATGGACACGCACAGAACGAGCTCCGAAGCTTCAAAGGCAGGGGCCGCTGGCTCTGGGATTCAGTAAACCCACAACCCTCGACCTGAATCCTACGACCTAAGCCTTGAACTACACACCCCAAACATCCCCAGAACCGAACCCCACCGAACCCCAAAAGTTCAAATGCAGGAATGCTGTACTTAGATCTACGGGATTAGGGGATGGGCTCCCATTCCTCCACCACAGTTCTGTGGGTTGGGCTGCACTGGCAACTCGCCGTAAAGCACCCAAAAATTATGTGCCTGCTCCTCGTCCCCCTCGCAGCTGCGGCACGCTGCTCGCGAAGCCAGAAGCCCTGCGGGCCCTGAACGTTGGAAAGGCAACAGCAATCGCGCTCGGTATGCAGTAATGCAGGGTCTTAGGTCTTAGAAAGCACATTAAAATGGAGTTGGAAGATGTGGTGGGGAAACTTACACTTCTTGAACCTTCATCTTCGAGCATGCCACGACCTTGCCTGCATCGCAAGTGCAGCCGCGTTGGGGCGTGGAACGAAGGAGCTGGATAATTGGATTTGTTGCCGTTGATTTCCGTTGTTCCTCTGTTCCGTGTCGAGTGGATGTCCGAGCAGAGGGAGTTTTGGGGCAGCCTGGGTCTGGATGACATCCGGCACTCGGATTTGAAGCTCGCATCTGCCCGATGTCGCATGTCAGTGTGGGATTGCCATGCACGCTGGCTTATTGCGCTCTTTGTGCGCCCTCTTTGATATGTAAGCCTGACAGCTGCAGGCACACAGAGTTGTAAACATCAGCACTACAAGCCACAGATTAGCAGCAGACTTCTCGCACAGCTGCTATGTCGTGTATGCCTTGTCACACTCCAGTTGCGTAATTGCTTTTCATGGAGACTCATCATGTAACTTGTGTCTTGTATAGCAGACAGGACTGCATGGTATCTACCCCGAATATCAGACCCATATTCATCCAGAGAGCTCGGATCTAAGACCTCAGGGGCTTGGCCTTTCGGAGGTTCAGGTCGGGGCACCAAAGAGGCACGGCACATGCGTCGGACTTCGGACCGCAGAACTTCTCATGCAGTCTTGGTCTTAGTGAAACTTGCTCGGTGCCCAGTGAGCTTCTTGGGTTCAGGCAGGATCCTAGAAGTTAGACGACAACAGGCAGAGTCGGGCACCGGAAGAACAGCCCTGAGAACTGTCTAAGTATCCTTCGGAGGCTTCTCGGGCACTGAGCCTGCAGAGCTCGGGGGCTCTGCCCAGTTCTCCTTGGCATTTTCTTCACGCTTCTTGGCATTCTCGTAGGACTGGCGGCAGAACATGGTGCAATCCGTAGGTGCCCACCCAAAACGAACCTCCTGCAACGGTCTGACCCCGCGCCTTTACACACACGTACAGACCAAAGCTGACCAGAAACCTCAGAAGCTGCGGGGCAAGTCCGCAAGCCGAGTGTGTCCAAGCCATGTCTGTATGTTTGCCTACGTCTGGCAAAATTGCGGCACCACAGTGGACGCAAGCCCCAACAACTGCTGCCAGTTGCGGCACGGCAAACATAAACTTCTGACGGGGTGTTTGGACACAAATCGGCTAGCATACTATTGATTTCTGCGGGGGTGAAATATGCTGAATTACTGAAGCAGCCACCAGTATGCCAACTATAACACGGACGAAGCACAGTGTCTCTAGGTGTATGCAGCTGCTGATGATGTTGTATGTACACGCACGTACCCCTCACACATCCTGAATGAAGAAGTCATGCAATCACTGTCTAGCCAAGCCATGACAATCGATTTCAGAATACATTAGATCCCGGCGCTGCGACGCCAATGTACAGCTCACTCCGCCTGGCACAAGAATTTGCATTGCCCTTGACAGATAACTGTAACTGTGGGCATTGCATCTTCTGCACTGTCCCTCCAGGCAGTCCATACATTGACACAAACAGCATCGGTCCATACAGTACATTGCTGCACAAAGTTGTGAGGGCACCACATCACACATGGCAGCATCGTTACATCTACAAGTCTGCATCCCTGCTGTCGTGCCTTCTGGGTGGAAACATGTTGCCGAGGACAGAGAAGCCCAGGATGATCACGACGAGGAGACTTGGTCGAATACGCTCCAAGGTGGACAAGCTACAGCCCAGCAGTGGAGACTCAAACAATGGCAAGAAGGCCCTGAAGCTAATGCCAGCGTGGCAATGCACAGCTCTAGGACACCCTGTCCGCAGAGCACAAGTTCCAGTAGTAGGCTCTCTGGTCATTGATCACAACACAGCGAAGGACTGCTAAGGGTCAGGGAGATGCTTTGGATCCCGGCACATCAGAAAGCGCAACAGTATCCTTGGCCCAGGCTGACTCACTGACAGCTTCACCTCGCTTATGTCCCAGACTGCGTGAATCAACTAGCGGCAGTTGCGAGGCTGCTGGTTGATAAATCGTTTTCGGCATCAGAAGGTGCTTTCCCGCAGTTCCGAACGAGATTGCGATTCCCCGCGCACAGAACTGGAGGGGTGCTCAATGTTCAAACATGCCAAGCTTCGTAGAATTCTTGCCGCGCTTCTGTGGCCGCCTTTGCCCTCGCAGCTGGCACTGAGCCCAATGATGTCGGGCCATGTCTTTTATGAAATGCACAAGCTATGCTCAGAAGTCGCTTCAGTCACTGCAGGTTTCAGATGTCGCTTCGTCGTCGTGGCAAGGGCAGCTGTTGAAAGCCTTGCCAGGAAAACGCTCAGACATCGTGCACCGGCCTGGCTTTCATTGCTGGGCTGACCAGGAAAGACCTCGACCACAGCATGGAACGGTCCGGTGCGCAGCACTCGTGGGCTGCTGCTCCAAATCATGGTCGTTTCCATGGAGGCCGTGCTTGATTGTAGACTAATCAAAAGACAATCGATGTATGTATGTATGCATGCATGTGCGTACGTATGTGTGCATGCATGTATGTATGTAGGTATGTATGTATGGTTTGTTGTATTTTTTGTGTATGCATGCATGTATGTACGTAGGTGTAGGTATATGTGTAGGTATGTATGTCTGTCGATGTATACGTGTTATGTTTTGTTAAGTTTGATTACATTCTGTCACACTACATTCCATGGCATTGCAGGAGGACTGTGGTTTGTGCCGCATGCTAGTGCATTGCACCGTTCGTTTTCTTTTGAGTGATATTCGACATTAATGATGAAATACCTTCGTGTTGTGGCAGATGTAGTACGGTGCAACCCTCGACGGCGACTTGTCTTGGTTATGCTATCTGTCCAAGCCCTCTGCGACGCCCGCACCCGGCACATGCCATGATGTGCTATGTCATGTTTTATCATACTTTGTTACAGTAGACATCGTACATTAAACTTTAATACAGTAAAGAGTATAGTTTTGCATAGTCTGGTCCAGTTTGGTATAGTAACTGTATGAAACTAGAACGGTTTGGTAAACCATAGTTTAGATTATGCTATACTAAGACAAGGTAAGACATGATATGCTTCATAACCTCGTATTCTCTTGCATTGACCATATCATGTCGTGTGTATTATACTATATATATCTATATACACACATCATATGCTTACATATCATATACATTCTCAGTTTCCCCCGAGCGTTCTGCTGGAGTCTAGAGCCTGCGATTGGTCCTATACTGAGCAAACGAAAGCACCGCGGGATACCTCAGGGACTTCTTCCGTTGCGTTGGCCCTGCCATGGCTTCGAGGCGCGAGGTGTGCGGTTTAAGGAGCCGCACTTTTCGTGGGCAGCGGCCGATGTTTCGGGGTTGGGCTGGAATCCGAAAGTTGCACATTAACGTGAACTGGGAGGGGTTCTGGGGCTCAAGTCACTTGCTGCGGTGTGGGGTCTTGCATTGAACAGCTGAGAGACCAGATATCTGCATGAAACAGATCGATGCTGCGAGTTGACGATGTGCCCACTGTCACCACTGCATGAATTCAAACTGCACCGGGAGGCGTTCAAGCTGAGCACCACCTTTTGCAGTTCCAACGCATATCTCAAATTCCGTGGTGGGTGAAACCCTGCAAATGATCCTCAGCCATGCTTGTAGATGAGGAAACCTGCCTGCAAAGGAGAAGAACGACGACCTAGACATGTCAGGAAACCTTGGCAAACATAGGGCATACACGCACGAACTTTTAGCTAGGGTACAGTGGGATCGTCTTGCTCCAGCCTCAGTCTAGCGCAATACTGGCGGGAGGGGCCTGCCCGATGTGGAAGTAGACGAGCTTGTGCGCCTGACCGGGTATGTAGCAGATGCCGAGCTACTTGCTTGCGGAAACTCTCTTACAGTGGAGGAAATCTGGAGTTGCTACTGTACGCATGTCTCAATATCTGCACTTCTACCAGGAAGCTCTGTTTCCTTCAGGGTGTGCAGATGCTCCCTGCTGCCAGGCTGAAAATGTGGCAAATAGTCGGCTGCTGCAGACTTCTTGCACTTGTTCAGACAACTCCAACTCCAGGAGCTCAAGAGTTGCCGCTTTGTAACTTCCGGAAAGAGTCAGAGATCGTCTCTCGTTAGTCTGTCGCTAGCTCCTGCCCTAAGTTCCAGATTACCCTGGCACGGCCGGCACCCGATGAGAAAGAAGAACGATAAATTTCCCCCCAAGACTCTTCATAAACCTTCGTTCGGGGGCCCTCTTGTCTTGGACAAGGTCTCTCCAGCACGGCCGGCTCTAGTTTCCTCCTTCGCTTGCCGTGCAGTTCTGGCGACCTGCTTCAATCTTGCCATGATGCCACCCACCGATTTTTGCCAGACTGATGATGACAACGTACTGGCCAGCGACTAGACGCATGGCACTTAGAGAGGCCTGGCAAGTTCTGTGGACCTCGATATTCCGACTCCACAGGCCTCGTAGGTGACCCACGCGCCAAAGTGCTTGCCGACGAAGACGTGCCAGGCACCCTGAAAGGCCCTGGAGTCAGCGAGCTTTGTGAAGCAGATCTTCGACAAGCACTGGAAAAACAAGCAGGTAATCATGCCGGAAGAGCTTGTCGAACTCTTTCTTGATGAACTGAGCAACCTGCCAAAGTGCCCGTCTTGTGCTCAAATCAAGTCCGGCCCCAGGCCATTAGAGGACTTCCGACAGACTTGTCACTCGGCTGTGGCATTGCATCAGAAACAGTCTGACAAAGTTTCATCCCACTTACAAAGCGAGATGGTCATCAGCCTCCTCGTCGACCTTTTCCTCTCATTTTCCTTTTACCCGCCATACTCGCCCTGTGTCACTACATGTACAGCACCACTTCAGCATTTTCTTTTGCGAGGACGGCTGTTACGATATCGGTGTCCCGAGCCCGTACTCATCCATCATCGCTCCTGCAGTTGTGCCTCCTTTGTTATAAGGAAAGAAGGGAAGGTAACCGACAGCGGAGATCAGCCTCGTTACTGTTTGGAGAACATGGACGAAAACGCATTGAATGCACAGTCTGTTCTAATCTCATGCCACACGTGTCGAACATAGACTCGAGATACTGGCATGGCCTCGCAGAAGGATCGTCTCTCGTTCTTAAACAGCGAGATCACGCCTTCGTGGGTCTGTGGCTTGTGCCACAGGGCCCGTGCAGCCCAACTCCATGGCAAGATCTCTGAGAATGCGGCCCTTTTTCGCCACCTCTATGGCGAAGTCCACCTGGCTGGCAGCGTGCTGACAGGTCTGATGTACTTAAACCCAACCTGAAGTCTCTTGCTGGAGAGTGTTGACGATAATTTCGGGGCATGAACCCAAAAACCACGAAGCTCGGGGTTTGTGGCCTCGGCTTTACTCATGTCGGTGATGTGCATCTCTGGCTTCGGAAGCTCTGGCGCATCCTGCGAACGTGCGAGTGGAAACCGGTATACAGAGGACGTCAATCTGATGCAATCGAACGCGCACGGCACCACGAGACTGCTTTCTCTTGGAACGCTGTCCTTGGCGTTCTGTCCACCCTGCGCACCAGCCTGCGGATTTGCGCCATCCGAGGCTCTGAAACTGGAAAGGGTGAGCAGAAAGACTTCATTGAGGGCAGGGGATCGGCGTTGAAGTGAATAGATGTGGAAGGAAAACAGTCACCTGAGTTACACGTTCCTGAATTGAAAACGGATCTCATGGAGTTCAAAACGGTGGCCAGGGCAACGATGATTTGCCTTCAGCTCGGTAAAATACCCAGCGGTTGAAATCTTGCGACCTGCATGGCACGAGGCCAGGTACAAAAGTCGCTTGGCGACGGAGGCCCGAAGCAGCGTGCGAGTTCTGTGCGGCCCTGTTGGCACGCTGTTACTGTACGCACGCTGACGCAAACATGTCTCCCTCCTTCAGATGCTCCTTTAGCAACCGACCTTTCTGTGGCAGCTCGGTCTCGTGGAAACTACTCGTCAAGCGAACGGCCTATGTAGGGTCTTGCTGATGGTCACTATAGTGCTGATGTAGAAGGGGTCGGTAGCATCCGAACATGAGTAAGACCAATGCCGTGCAATGTACACTGTACATGGGCTGCCTCCGTCGAACCTCAACAGCTACGAATGGCAATTCAAACAAAACAGCAGCCTGGCTGCTCATCTCGTTTGCACGACTTGCTACTTGCAGCAAAACCTTTCGCGGCTCCAGCCAGCTCTTTATCGGCTGTGAACTGTACACGCCGGTCTTCCAAACTGCACAATCCAAGAATCGATCACCTCAACAGCTTGATCTCGGGCCGCTCGGGCCTAGGGATAGAGCGTGATGCCACACTTGTACGGGCGCAGGGAGAGAAGCGGACGGGAGTCCAACTCAGGATCTGTCCAGTACACCTCCCTCCAGCCGCGCAGAAATCCATGGTAGGCAGGTGCCCGGTCGGCTTGGCTCCACCTCCCTACAGCCCACATCATATCTGATAGGTTGGAGAGGATGGAGGCATTCACACCATGCGAGTGCAGCCATCCGCCCACCAAAGGCCGCCAGAATCGCAAGAAGAGACGCCCTCCCCGCTTCTCGACGGAGGCATCCCAAATCTGCAACGAGTCATCTGAATCCGGGGCTCCTGAGTAAGCACTGGCATAATACTGCTCCACCCCTCCTGTGTGTCCCAGAACAATGTCTGCGCCAGCCATCCCGAAGCGCTCTTCTCGACCCGTGCCTGCACTCCTTGCTGACGCACTGGAGGAGCCGCCTAGTGGCCGGAACCCGACTGACACATAGTCTGCTGCATCTGCTCGGGCAGAGATCTGGACATGCAATGACGATGCCGTCTCATGTAAATCCCACTCCAAAACTAGGCCAACTTTAGCATCCAAGTTGTAGCAATGCTGGAAAGAGCTTGCCGCCACTCTGCTGGCTTCCGGAGGTGACCGATAATACAGAGCAAAAGGGCAAGTGGCCAGCGGAGTCTGATGCTCATCCCGGTGCGTGTAATCACAATCGAAAAGGCTGCCGGATCCCGGGAATTGAAGGTCGACCGGCGCGGTGTACGGTATTCTTTCCAGGGTTGCCCACACATGCTTTGAGTGCTGTTGGAACGGTGATCCCGCCATGGAGACCTGATACTGCAGTCTCTGACCGGACTCCTCCGCACGAAGGGTCCAGTTAAAGCAGCCACAACCCTCCTCCGAGGCGGCCGTATAGCAGCCAAGGGTTTCGAAAGGGAAGGGATGCTCGGAGTCGACGTAGCCGGGCCACTTCCTCGAACGATCGCGACATGAGCGTGTCGACACCACCAAGCATGATCCTTCAAAACTCTTGAACGCCTGTCCTCAAACAGAAGGTCACCTCCCGATCGCTCACGGCGTGCGCCTGCACTCGACACGACACCAGCACAACATGGACAGAACCTTGCAGACGCTCTCACGCCACTTTGCGCTACTCCCCTGCTTCGAAGTCGCACCCGAAGTGACTTCCGACAGGTCAGCGAACGCGACACCGATACGTCCATTAATTAACCTACGACTGCACAGTGAGAAGCAAGCATTCCAAACCCTAGAGGCCCTAGCATATCCAGCAAGCCCGACTACACCACAAATCAAGCGGCACATCTTGGTACCATCCATCTCCTCAAATGAAGCTACATGTTGAAGTCAACAAGCTACAAGCAAGGAGCACCTGCATCATGGCGACACGCCATCGAGTCGGATCTCGGGGTCCTGGGCAATGTAGCCTCGCTGAGGAAAAGTGCTGAAGCTGCAGTGTCGAGGTGTCTCGAGGATTCTCCTCTACCGGCTGCTGATTTTCTCACATGTTCGAGGGACTCAGATGTTTTTTTGCTGGTGCAACAGACTCGGCGATTCAAATGACTTGTATGAGCTGCCTGCATCTAATTGCTGCTTGTTCACGCACGGTGGGCTGCAAGAAGCTCCACAAGATTGCCGGAACCAATGGCTCTCCCACACATACTGAATCACACCGGAGCTTGGAAAGAAAAGCGCTTTGATTGCACCACCAGCATGCCGGCGAGCGTCAAGCGTCCGCGATCGTCGCCAGAGGCTCTCAGGTAGGATCTCTGCCAGCTCCAGTACTTCCTCCAATCGCCCTAGTAGAGAAAATAAGTAGAAAAAATAAGTAGAATAAGTAGAAGGCTTATCCTATGTCACCTAGTCCACTGGAAGTCAGACTTGAAGCAACTACGATAAGTGACCCTATGTTACATCATCCATCGCTTCAAGACAGCCCCTGCGGTGCGCTGTCTCTGCAAAGCATTGGGAAGCGCTTTGCGCTAACCAGCGCCTGAACTTCGGAGAGGCATCGAAAGGTAAGTTCGCCTGAAACCTGGGCTGCAGTCACATGGCATCAGTGAAAGGATATCACAATGACAAAAGGAGCGAAAGGACGAGCAGAACCGCAGCAGCGGCGGCATTGCCCCGACCGATGCCGCTGAACTGATACCGTCAAGGCTCTACGGGCTACTCCGTTGCACTTGGCCGAGCTGCAGGTAGTCCCCCTGCGGCAGCCTCGTGATCGCGAAGGTGAAGTTTTCCGACCACGGTCCCACAACGCTCGCGTAGGGTACCCCCTGCCAAGTACCTGGCGGCATCATGTTTTGTCTTCCAAGCTGCGAAGCCGAAGCTGCGTGGCTGAAACAAATGCGGCTGTTTCACACTGGACTCGCCTTCAAAGCTGGGCGGCAAAGCAAACGGCTCCAGTTGAGCCGCTACCAGCGGCAGGAGGAACCAGTGCCACCCCATGTCTGAGGCTGCGGACAGTGGAGGCTGGAGCCAAGCTTCGCGGCAACCGGCGTGACTACTATCGGACCGACTGCCTGACCATCAACTGAAGCCTTGCAAAACGGACATCAAGCACTAAGGAGCTGGGAATGAGAAGCTAAGCTTCTCAGCTTCTCAGGGCCAGCTAACTACTGAAAGCGCAACCCCTTGAATTACATCAGCAGAACCATGGCACATACCTTGCTCGGGTCCACTTGACCGCAAGCATTCCTGTCTCACATTGTCTCACGATGGGATGTGCCTGCGATTGATCCGCCATGATTGCGCTGGCTCGATCCACACTGCAAGTTTCACAAGTGCAGGTCAAGGCTGGTATCGTCTCCAAGTATGTCCCTGGGCAGCTTCGATCTTCCTAACTGAATCTGTCCCAGTTTGAGGGTTGCATGACTTGGGTTAGGCTCATCGGAGTCTGTTGTAGGAGTACTTGAGGGCTTAGGTAGGCTTCGGCTTGTATATTACTCGCATGTCCATGATGCCGCTTCGAGCCGGCGGAGGCTGCAACTGCGAAGTCAGGCCAGCTTGTGACAAAGTCTCCGGATACCTTCCCGAGCACCCAAGCCAGGAAGTTAGGAAGAGCTGACCATTTTTGGAACATCCTTCTCTTTGCAGGTCTTTTGAAATCTTGTCTTCAAAAGATGCTATATCATCCCGTCGTTGGGGAGCAACTGGACAAACAGCTGGCGCAGCGTCGCCCAGGTTAAGAGATAGCCAGCTTGACAAAGCCGGTTGGGGGTGCCACCAAAAGCATACTTAGTTCAGTCAGTCGGTTTACGTATCCCGCATACTTCTGACATCTTGTGACAGCTATGTGGAAGTTTAGGACTATTGTCAACCTGCCCAGGAGGTTCACAGCCAATCCCAAGCTTGCGGCAGGCGCCAGTTTAAAATGCTGGCCTCCTCTCACACCACCGTTGTGGCGGTCCGGAGGCAGGGACATGAGCTGCGTGGGTGGACGGACGTTCCGCGGCTGTTAGAGGTCGCGCCCATACTGGTCCACCTGCGCAGCACCGGAATGAGGAGTTCTATAATTAGTCTCGAGTAGCGATTGCGATGTCGGGTTCGCATCGCAACTGACACCTGATATCACCACATAACTGAGCTACGGGACTCGGAAACCCAGACATGCAACCAACTCGCAACACCACGCGTGCGTCTCTCTGCGCTGAGGCTGGGAGCCTTGAAGGCCTCTTGGAACTGCTCGGCCTGCAGCAACACAGCAACACACTTGAGCCGTTTCGGTCAGCCAGGGGCAGCCAGGGGCTCCGAGGGGATAGCAGTAGCTTCGGTGCTTAAGAAACTAAGTTCCGGCAGAGGCTGAGACCACAAGAGATGCGCAAGCTGCCTCGTCGGGTTCCCACTCATCGAAGTTCATCAATCCCTCGAAGTCGCTGTCACCGAACCTTGCATCTTGCATCTCTGTGGTGGCCATGCGAAAGCCAAGTTCTTGGCAAACATATCTCTTGGCGGTCAATGCCCTGCGCTGCCGCCACGTGGGGGCGTGACTCGTCGAAGGCGGTAGCTGAAACCTGCTAAGTTCAGACTTGACTATCGATGCACAGTATGACAAGGATTGAACTCATAGTGAATCTAAGTTTGATGGCTCTTGCCTTCTTCTTCATCAGCCGGGTGAGATGCGAATAATTCTGCGTGATGTGATCCTTGCTGCAGGTTCCATTGCTGCAGACCGGCTGAAAACATGACCCTCGGAGCATAGATCATAAAAGCCCTGTCGTGCTTTGGCACTCCTGCCATTTCATGGGCGGCACATCAGGATGGGGGACCGCCGCATAGCTGACAGGATCTATGGCCACGCTGCCATCTGCGGACCTGGCGGCGTCTCCAGGACTGGCTGCATTGTGCCCGTACACCAATGGCAGTGACAGAAACGACGACTCTAGCAGAATCTGGCAATTGCAGCTACAACAGCTACTTTCCAATCGCCACGAATGTCTGCAGGGGACATGGCATGCGATTCCCGGGCGATTCACCAACAATGGCAGGAGCACTTGGTCAGCTTCAGGAAAGCTCCTTTGTTATTGCCAGTGTCCAAGTAGTTCGGTGCCTGGGAACAGAGTGGTCTGGTCGCAGCTGAGATGTGCCAGGACTAAGGCACATAGCAGTCGTTTCAGGTACGTTCCCGAACCTGAACAAACGGGCTTTGCGTGATTGCTACCTGACCCCATGCTGTTTGACATACCGGTCTCGGCACGGCCCCCAGAAACTCTCTGACCCTGACAGGCGGTGCTGAGGACCGGGCACTGAAGACGCTCAGCAGCTGCTTGTGATCCCACCTTGACAAGAAGCGGAACGGTGCTAGCGTCACTATCGTAGACGCGTTGCCAACTCCAGCTGAATCCAGGCAATTCGTGCAAGGCAGCATCCTTGACGTGCAGGCCACGAAGGCCGCAGTCTGGAAATGCCGACCCCCAAAAGATCTCTTTTATCTCCCTGTCTTTAGCGGGATCCCTTCGGCCTGTATCCATCGGCCTTCACCTGTGACAGCGAAAGGTTACATGCACACGAAAGGTAGCTATCAGAGTGGACGTTTGGTACAAAGCCGAGACGACCCCCATCCGACATTCGCATTCTCCGCAGCCTCGTGCGATCGGATGATGCACTGCAGGTTGTTCTTCTCACAGAAGCTCGAAGTCACATCCGGGCCTCACCAACGAGGCTGATGATGCCGATGACAGCGTTAGCGATGGTGAGGGTGACGAGAACTGTTGATGATCGAAGTGGCCAACAGATTGTGAAATTCAATGTTCGTGATGTGGTAAGGCTGCCCGTGGTGGGTACCATCACCACCAACACCACCGAAAGCAAGCCAACCGAATCGTCGTCGTCCTCGTAGTTGGTAAACCTTATCGCCGTCGTCACCGCCATTTCCATCTCACAGAACATATTAACTTCACACACAAACCCGAAAGCATGCATGCACGAATGTATACATACATTCGTTCACATGTACATACATACATACATACGTACATACGTACGTACATACGTACATACATACACACACATATATACATACACACATACATACACACATGCATACATACTTTGACTTTGAGTGCGTTGCCCGGTGAGTCTAAGATACATATATACATACGTACGCACATGCACACACTAGCACTAGCGTAACATAACGTAGCATGAAATACGTGCACACATAAACATATGCACATACATGTACATATACCATATACATATACGTCTGGGATCGTCTGAGTATACATTATACACACACACATACACGTACACTTACACATACACATGCACATACGCATTTAACCATTTACATACACAAACACATACACATATACCACATATGAGTAAGCAAACTTACTGCATGCGGACACACTTGTGGCAGCAAATAGCACGATTGTTGGCAGGGCCCACCCTGCCTGTCGTCACCCGACCAAAGCGCAGCCGCTGCCAAAAGTGTTTGGCTGCCTTGACCAAATGCCATTCAACGCGCGGACCAGACCCCTGCCTCTGCCACTCACCTGAACAAACAACCCGCAGGCTCCCACAGGTCGACCCTCGTCGACTGTTAACTTCACGCGAAGTAGAACGCAACGCAGCACTGCCGCAGCACACGCTGCAGAACAGACGCTCACATTCAGGTAGCACACGCGCGCTGTGCGCAAGCCCACACAAAATGCACCAGAGAATCGACACTCGTCGATCTGATGGCCTCACTCGAGGTCCAAGAACACATGGCATGAAGCCTATAGAATTACAGGCAGCCACGAACAAATGCCTCCTGCACTCCCGGCACTTGGGCCATCTCACTGCTACACGAAAGAAGCTGGGACCAATCCAGATATCTGCGCTTGCTGCCATCCAGTCGCTTCCACAATGCAGGGTCCTTGCACCGTCCTCTGGACAACGCGTCGGCCTACGGATTGCGCTAGCCGGCCACGTGCGAGATCTTGAGCGCGATGCCGTGCCGAAGACATAGTTTGGCGGTGGCCTGAAGGACACCGGCAAGTGCCGGAGTCATTGACGAGCCCTTTGCGACGGCCCCCACAACTGCGGTGTTGTCGCAGTGTCGTAGTATGAGAGCGCAGAGGATCAGTTGCGCCAAGGCTTCAAGAGCACAGATGACGGACTCCATACCCTGCGAGCTCACAAACCATTCTGGCAGCTCCTCTGCAGTGATAGCGTATGAAAACCAGCAAATGTTTTCTGGACGAAGCTCGCAACCAGGTCGAAGCCACCATCCACCGACTCCTGCCTTGCGCCCGTCAGCAAAAGCATCGGCCGCAGCCACAAGCCGCGGCCCAGTCGTCTCCACAAGATGCACTGCAACTCTCAACCGCATTAGATCGTAGTAGAAACGAGCAGCAGACGCAGCCTGCGAACTGACACGGACAAGCTTGGAGTCCGAATCCCCAAGCTTCACCCAAGCTGAACCCGATGTCCCAGCGTGCTGCTGAAGATCGACAACTGCGCTCCACTTTTGGTGATTCACCTCCAGGACATGCCACCCAGCACTGATTGCAGGACTCGAGATCGCCGACTGCACTTGTCCGGACGACGTAAGCAAGCGTTGAAGCGCTCGCTGCGGGCTTGTGTAGGACGCAAAGCAACTCCCGCAACCAGCATCTAAACGCAGGTGACACATTGGTGAACCAACACAATCCTTACGCGACACCCAAGCTCCAGATTGACACAACGGTTCCAAAGCCGAAAGCAAGCGCTCACGTTTGTCTTCCGGCAGCATGGCTCTGGGCGCAACTCGCAATGATATATCTCAGCCGACCCACTTGAGTGCGGTTCCAAGCCTCAGCTTGCGCAAGCTTGGCGGGAGGCCTAAAGGCCCCAGCGACGCAGATAAGCAGACAGGCATCGCTCCTGCCTTGCCTCGCCGCAGAAGACCAAGCAAGTCGTCCACATACATGGCAAGAAAATGCCGGTGTCGGAGCAGACGATGGCCGAGTCGAACAAAGCGTGCTGCAGCCCTTGACCACCAATAGGCGGCCCAGGAGCACCCGAGATGGCACGTAGCAGACGTAGCATAGCACAGCCAACGCCGGCGCCCATGCCCATGCTTATCAATGACGGCACACAATGAATAACCTTGAACCTCCTGTGCTACTTTGACTCGTTTGTGGGCCTTGGCGACGTCCATGATGAAGCTAATCCACTGCTCATCCGGGTAACGCAAAAGAAACTCTGCCACATCATGCAGTGACGGCATTTCTATCCTCTCTCCAATTCTGCACAGGAGGTTGGCTCCAGAAACTGTACTATCTCCCACGAGTCGCGGCGCGCTGCCCTCCTTCTTGACCAGACCCAGCTTGCCTGCCGCGCAGGCGTTGCCGAAGCAGGCGCGTGTTCTCTATGATTGTTTCATGCAAGCACATGAGACAGCAAGAGGGAAAACGCGCTCACTCTTTTTTACGGCGGAGGTTGCATTGTCCGTGCCAGGCGTGGCGAGAAGTTAGGTCTGTGCTGTGCGAGGCACGTCGAATAGCCCCCAACGGGTGTGGTGGGTGGGTGAAAAATTCTGAATGAATGTAGGGTCGCGGCCCTTGCGCAGTGTTTCTATGTCGTTGTCAGTTTGAGCCACCGGCGCGGCACGGTGCTAACATGAGAAACTCATAGAAAACACTGCTGACTAAAATACAAACGCACAGCGAGCGTTCTCTATGATTGTTTCATGCAAGCACATGAGACAGCAAGAGGGAAAACGCGCTCACTCTTTTTTACGGCGGAGGTTGCATTGTCCGTGCCAGGCGTGGCGAGAAGTTAGGTCTGTGCTGTGCGAGGCACGTCGAATAGCCCCCACTTTAGCGGACACTGCAACCTCTAGCCGACGTCTACTCAGAAAGCCCCCACCGCGCGAGGGCGCAGTGGTAGTAGAGCGTCCTGAGGCAGGCGCCCAAAGAAGAAGTCCAGGTACGAGCCGTGCGTGTCTAGCCCCGTCCTCTCCGTATGCGAGAGCTCGCATCATTGCTGTGCCTGACAGGAAGCAAGTACAAAGTGCCCAACAAACCGAGGCTAGAGCGCTAGCCGGGCGAGCCTGTGCAGCTGCGTCGTGAAAGCAGCCATGCGGTACCTGGCCGAGGGCAGCCAGAGGAACTTGCAGCGACTATCGTGTCTGTGCAGGCAGTCTCGAGGCAGACCAACCTTTACCTGAGCATTGCGTGCGTTGCGTCGACAAGGCGCTTTGGCCACTGCGACGTGTCTCCATGCGCCGTGACACTATGCGAAGCTGAAGCCAGCTGTGCAAGGGTGATGCGTACCCGGTCAGCTGTGCGGTGCTGAACAAAAGCAGTGCGTCCGCGGGACAGTGCATCTGCCCAGGTGTTCTTTTCTCCTGCTAAGTGCTCCACTTGAAACTGCACGCGGTGCAGGTGCGCCCAGGTCGCTGCCAGGCGAAGATAAGAAAAGTACCAAGAGGCTCTGCTGTGCTAAAAAGCTTGTTAAGGCCGGACTCGGCGCTAGTATTGTCGCTGGCTGAGGGCAGCACGAACTTTGCGTGGCGAGACCTTAGCAGTTGCCAAGAGCAGTGCGCCAGTGCGAGCTGTGCCAGTGTCTCGAAGCAACCGATATAAGGTTGCAGACTGCCGACTAACTGGGGCCATTCTGTGCGTACCTGCGAGGCATCGAAAATTTCACTGTACCAAACGAAAGAAGATGCTGTGCTTAGCCAGCCACCTATCCCCATGCGGTCTTTGTCCGCGAAAGCATCCGCTGCAGACATGCAGTGCAGGAGCGGTGCTGTGCGAAGAGAGCGAGGCTGTTCGTGCGCGAAGCACAAGCTAAGCCATTGCAGCACGAACTTACTCTCTTTGCGAAGGTGGATTTCTTGCCTAGAAGGGTCTGCGAGGCGAACCCACTGATGCTTATGGGAAGGCGGAACCCGAGGCACGTCTTGTTTACTGTGCACCTTAATACTACCTACTTCCAGTAGCTGTGCGTTGCGGGGCAGCCAGCTCCCAGGCGGCGTGCGGCTAAGCTTTGCCGAACTGTCTAAGCAGTCAAAGAAACTGGTCCACATCGCGGGCGCTATGCTGTGCAGGGTGCCTTTCGCTGAGTGCAGGTCTTTGTACAAAGGTGCCATGAACGGGCGAAGGTGCTTGCTGAGCGAGGTGGCCCAGTTGAGCAGCCCGAGGCACGCCTCAAGGGCCTTGCGAGGCACCTTAGCGGTGCTATGCAACTCTTGGAGCTGTGTGCGCAGCTTCTGCAGCTTGTTCTGAACCAGTTCTACTGTCTCTGTGCGGAAGCAAAACTTCCAGCCGCACCACGTTGCTGTGTCAGCAAATTGTGCTTTTTTCCAACTTACCGGGGCGTTCAGAGCTGCAAGCAGAGCTACCAGCAGGGCAGCACCTGTTTCCGACTGGCAGTGGCGGAGCAACAGGAGAAGGTCATCCACATAAAGCCAGGCTCGGTGCGGATGCTTGCAAAGCAGTGCGTGCAGGCAGCGCAGGATGAGAGCCCCGGTGCGCTGCCACCAGTATGCAGAGAACCGTGCTCCAAAATGACAGACGGTGTAGTAATACAGCGAGTCTCCGTGCCGAAAAAGAAGAGTGCCTTGGTCGCGGGGCAGCACTTTGCAGCATTTGTGTGCTGCTTTAAAGTCGATGCAGACCGCCCTGAGCTGTGCGAAGCAGTCTTCGGATAAGAAAGAGCGTTGCACGTCACTGGAGGTAGGCAGTGCAACACGTTCAGGCAGATGTATGCCTCCATTCAGGCCACACACCGAGCTGTCCAAAACAATGCGTGGATCTTTGCCGTCTGCGAAAACTAAGTTAAGTTTTCCTACTGCAGTGCCTGCTGGCCAGTGCTTGGCTGCGTCCTCCAAGGAGCCCTCAAATTTGCGAACCCAGCCGTTTTCTATTTCCTTTTCTATGAGATGTGCAAGGACTTCTGGATTCTGTTCGGCACGGGTCCAGTTGCCTGTGCAGTGCTCCAGCGCGGGTCCCGTGAGGTCTTCTTGTGTGTCGACCCCTGGCTGTGCGGGAATCCACTGTCCGCTGCTGGGCAGTGGCTCGAAGGCGCCGGTCGGGACGCCTTCCGCTAGTATGTCGGGCAGGGCATGGTCTTTGTCACCAATGGCCCGCGCAAGGCTTTGCAAAACTTGTAGACGGAACGGCTGTCCGGGCTCTATTGCCGCGAAGGACTTAGCGTCTGCGTCCGGCGCAAGGTGCAAGCGCACGAGTTCGGTGAGCACCAGGGCCTGCTCCTGCGAGAGTGGAGGGTCTGGTGCTGAGGATTCCAGGTGTTGGGCAATGCGACGCACAAGGCCATGCTGCTGCAAAAATCTTTTAAAGGCCAGTGACAGAGCTGCCAGTGGTTGTGCCTTGCTGCTTACGTTATTAGCTGATTGGTCTGCGTTGCTAAACATGCCTGCACCGTCGCAGGTGGCCGGACGTCGCGGCAGGAAGCATTGAGGCATGTGCTGTTGCATTGCGTCTGGGCTAAGTTCTTTTACTCCTGTGCTGGAACAGTTGTGTGCCAGAAGACGCCCTAGTGATTCCGGGGCCCGGTCCTGTGCAAGGCTCCCACATGAGGGATCAGAACAACAATGACAAACAATGTGCTGCGTGCCCGGGCTAAATACGTCCGAGCGAGTGCAGTGCACTGCGAGTTCTTGGCACAAGTGCACGTATGCCGTTTCTTCTTCCGCAGGGCACTGCGTTGGGAAGAGAAAGACAACCTGTGCGCCCTGTAAGTGTGCTGCGCGAATCAGGGCCCGGGCTTCTGCGTGGCTTTCTTGGGTGAGTTGCCCGTAGGAGAAAAGGAAGAAAGCTAATCCCACGAGGCCTGACCAGCAGAGAGTGAACAGCTGTGCAAGCACGGGCGGTGCGAAAGCACGAGTGGGCTCGGGAGTTTGCAACGCTAGGGTGTCTACGGGGACTTTTAGCTTATCGGGCAGCGCAAAGCCTAGACCCTGAAACCTAAGGAGAAGGCGAGGTCTTGCGGTGCCATCGGACGCCGGTTCTGCGCTAGACTCTGTGTCTGTGCTAGCAGAGCTTTCCGGTTCCGCGCGAGTGCGAGGCTGTGGCTCACCGGCAGGCTCCGGTATCGGAGGTGACTGCTGCAAGTGCGTCTGAGGAGGCGGAGCCGCAGGGTTCGGGGCAGAGTCGGCTGGGGGGAGAGGCGAGGCCCCCGAAGGTGCAGTGCTAGGTTGTTGTTTGGGCTGTTTGGCTGGACTCTCAACAGCGAGTCACGAGGCACTTGGGTCCTGGGGCTTGCGGTGCTTGCACGCTGGGTGGCTTTTGCCGCAAGGCTCGCCACTGGGCAATTTGAAGGCGCATGCGTGCAGATACTTACACTGTGCATTGCGACAGTTGCCCTTGTTCCACCTGATGCAGAAAACCCTGTCCCCATGCTGGGAGACCAGATCGCCCTGCTTGATCTCCTGTGCAGTGCTGGCACCCGGGGTTTTGCGTTTTGATGCCTGTGCCGGGCGCGTTGTCTTTGCCGGTTTTACCTTTGCCGTTAGCTTTGGTTTCTTTGCGAGGAGGCTTTTGAGGTGGCGGCGGGGGCTTTGCTGGTAGCTGCAGCAGATTCGCCACATCTGCGCGAACCGTCGTGAGCTCATGCAGGGCGTCGTCAAGGCTCCATCCTGTGCTGTACAGTGCTGCAATTTCCTGCCACAACTTCTTATCCGCTGCGACAAGCTCCGTTGTGGTAACGGTGCGTAGTGCGGGGTCTGCTGGGCTTTGCGTTGCAGCATCAAGGATCTTTTTGTCAAATGCCTTAAGCCGGGCTAGGTGCGCGCCCTTGCACAGTGCAATTGCGTTGCGAAAGACTGTTTGGATACGTCCTAACCATGCTGTGCTAAGCCTGAGGTGCTCAACTGGCATTTCCGGAGTCTCGTCGAACAGTGCGGTGCTCAAAAACTGTGCTTCTGTGCGGAGCATCTTGGAGGATTTGGACTCCACGATGTCTTGGTACTGCTTGTGCGAGAGTCTCAGCTGCCAGGGCACCCATGCGATGCTGCCTTGCGGTGCAAACCATTTGTGCACAATGCTGAGCAAACGCACACTTGGCATTGCATCATTATCGAAATGCTCGCCCGGGTAGTTAATTTTAAAGTCCTTAACGAGCTGTGCAATGACTGCCGAATCCAGGCGGGGCGGTGCATGTTCGGCCCAAGAATGGGCCTGGGGCGGGGCAGTCGCTGGGGTCGGCGTGACAGGCAGCACCGCTCCATCCGTTGCCTGGACCAGAGCGAGTGCACGCTGCCAGGCGCGGCGGAGGCGTGCCATGGCCGGGCTGTGCGGCGGATCCTCCACGTCAAGATCCTGCCAAAGCTGTGCGTGATCCGATGAGCAGAAACAGTCTAGCTCCTGTGCCGAGGTGAAAGCGTATGCAAAATCCGGCACTGTGCTGAAACCCTTGTGTTGCAGTGCGTTGCAGAGGGACTCCGGGACCTGCATCGACGTGAGCAGGTCAGCGAGCGCGTCTGGAGAATCGCTCAAGCCGTGCGGTGCAAGAGCCATGCTTAAAGGATCCTGAGATTATCGCAAAGGAAAACTTGAGTTAAAAGAGGCTGCGGAAAGTAGCTTCAGTCAAACCCAATGCGAGGCAAAAAGCTGCTCCAAGCGAAGAGAGCGAGGCGCACCGGAGGAGGACCAGGACCTGAGCAGGGCAGAAAAGAATTCGGGGCAGGTTGGGGAAAGGCGCTGAGAAACAGTCAAATTCCTTTGCGATTCCTGTGCCATCTTTATCAGGTTGATGCGCGATGCATCTCTACGCAAGCTTTACGCCTGCAGAAAACTCCTTGCGGGGCGTCCGAGAATTGTGCTGCTATGCCCAGCCTGAGACCGCACGCTGTGCGAGGGCATTCATTCATGGAGTCCGTGCGCAGCGCGTGCCATTTGCCCCATGCTCCATTGCAGGCGTAGCGTACGCCTTCACCTGCAGGTACTTTAACAAATTAAATGCGGTGCCCTCCGAATCGACGCTTGAGACGGAGGAGGCGGCGAGGCTTTCGCTGCTTTCATCCCTGTGCAATGCTGCTTGCTCAACCATGTGTGCTTCTTCGTCCTCTACACTGGGCGGAGCTGCTGGTTCTGGTGACGATGGGCTGAGTTGAGTCGGTGCCACTGTGTCGCCGGGTGCTTGGGCGTTTTGCTGCGCTTGTGCTTGCAGGTGTTCGTGGCGTGTCACAAAGCAGGACCAGGGCCCTGAAAGGAGGCGTTGTGCCTCCACTTTGCGCAGTACTGGGCCTGGCGGCAG